AAATAAAATAATTTGGCCACCCCCAGCCACTAGCTGACACACTGAGTCGTTCAAGGATTCAAGACTTACTTGGTGCTTTCCCATTCAATTACTCCGCTTACTCCATCATTAGCATCAATAATAATTTGAGAAGCTAAACCTTCCACATCTACAATGGAAAACAGGACAAAAATGAAAGAAAAATAAAGTCCATTTTCATTATTTTCAAGAATAATAGAAGCATTTTTAAAAATCTTTTCCAAATTTTGTAGAAAAAATACATACTTTTCTATTTCTAAAATGTGGAGAAGAAAATGGTTGTGAGAAAGGTAATAGGAAAGGCTCCAAGAAAGGCTCTCCTTCCTACCTTATTACTGGAACTGCAACCTAGTGCCCTTAATTACCACTGTTACATTTAATAATGCACATGAAAAAGACTAAAGAAAATTTAGAAAGCAAAACATAGCACATAAAAATTAGGAAATACCAAAAGTAAGATTTGTAATGGAATCTCAATTTATCTTCATTATGTGTGTTTATTATGATGATACTCAACACTTTGCAGACTGCGCCATTCTGAATATGGGTGGGAAAATGAGTAAGAAAGAATAATAAATGACCCAGTATTTCATCTCTTATTCATATTTCAGTGCCTGCTCATAAAAGTTACTGGCACACACCTCAGCTTCTGCCACAAATACAGAATTATTACTTCCTTGGTAAGCTGTTTATGTACTGCAACAATCTATTGTTCCATAAAGACGCATGCATCTTCACAGTAACTTAGAAAGATTACTGTACATACTGTAAAAATGCTTAATAACAGTTTAATGCCAGAATTGTCCGCTACTTTCAGAGACCACAATTTGACAGTCAGAACTTGATTCTTCTAAGAAAACAGTGTCTTAATTAATCCAGACAACAGCACCACGTGACTACCTTAATTTACTTAAACTTATTTTCAATAAGACTTAAAAAGAAAAAAGGAATGGCAATTTCTACAACGAACTGACTCCACTGCACCTGTAGCAAATATACTATATCTATATCCACAGGAAAAATTTCTATCAATTCAGATAACACTAAATAAAAGGTCATTGCCATGAACCTAAACTTGTCACTATGAGGTAGCGAAGAACATCAGCAGTAGCTGCAAAACCTCTACACAAGCAGAAGAAATGTCACTGAGACATTAGAAATCCAAAGTTTAGAAATCCAGAGGGAGTCCTAGCCATAACAGTCCTTTCAGCACCACTCCGAACCCGCGTTTTCCCTTGTTGTGTCACAGTCAGCTCAGTTCACCCGGGATCTGTAAAACGTTGCCTTCGATATCAAACCTCTTATTTCAAGTCTGGCAAACTTTCCCGACCCTGACGCCCCCATGCTCCTTTCCCCCATCTTAGCTCTTTCTTGTATTCATTAAATTTATTACTTTTTCTTTCATCATTCTCAGCTGTTGACCATTTTCCCTGGATTTTAACTCCTTGCACTTCTGTGTTTGAGCCAGGCTCTTTCTTCCTTCTCCCATAGAAGAGAGGAGCAAGAGGAGCATGGCAAAAACAACAGAACTGCCTTTATGTTTGCTGTTTCTGCTCGTTATCAGTGAAGACTCAGATCAGAAATGAAGGTCGCTTAAGTTGAGTGTGTCCAACTCTGCATCACAGACATTCCGGACTTACCTGCATACTGCATGCACATGGCCATGACAGAAACAGCACACACAATTTATTCCAGATGTGCCTGCACGTGCCTCTATCACATGCAGAACACCCATCTCTTTTGATACGAGACACTTCCTAGAAGGACTTCAAGTATCTTCTATAGGGTATGGGACTGCTAGAAATTCTAAACAAATGCGTTGCACCAACAAGGATTTAAACTGCCAACCGTAACAAATCAAAACACACCAACAGGGGTAAATAAGATTAGAAAACAGTCTGGTAACAGAATTCGTAGTGACATTTTACAATGAAGACAAATTTTTGCCCCATGGTTTAAAACTATTACCTCTTCATCCTAAGCACATTTAACTCAACACAGATATCACAGCAGGGCTGAATGGTAGGATTCAAGGAGAATGCCAACGCCTTACAACAGAAGTTGAGACTATACAGCATTCAACACAATTTGGATCAGAAGAATACATATTATAATGTTACTCTTTGTATTTTAGATTTTAGACTCAACTAATCACAGCTCAGTTCCCTACAAATTAGCAAGTTACCTTTCAATCTGTAACGAATTAACTCAGTCACTTCTATAGGCATGCAAAGAAAAAGAAAAGAGTCAAAGATGATGTTAGAAATAATCAATATAACTAACTGCCCTTAAATCCAATGGCAGCTATGCTACTGCATTCAGAAGCAGAATGAGGAGATAACTAGCCAAATGATAAACGAAGTTCACTGGAAGGGTAGGAAAAGCAGAGGACATGACTCCTAAAAGTAAATCTGATAGAGACTTATAAAACAACATTTTCAATAGAGTGAATGAAAGTATAAAGGGTTTTTTTACACATAAATTGACTTTTTTACATGCTGTTTCCACCTTGAAAATGAAAATCAGATTACTTCCAATAAAACTTTTCACATGTTCGTGCTCTCCAACTGTTAATTACTAACACCTCTATGAAAATTGCCTTATAATCTTTACAGAGCCTAAAAAAGTAAGAAGCAAGTGTAATAATGAATGTTTGATATCCTACAATGTTTCTTTCAGAATGTCCTGTCTCATACTGGCATATTTAGCAAGTAAATGGAATTAATAGTAATATGCCAGAGTAATGTAATCTGGATGCAATTTATATAAAAGAAAAGCCAAAGATAAATCTGTGTAAGATGTTTTACCCAGCCTAGGTGGGGATGAAGTTGAGTGGTTCATGATTAGTTCCACTGAAGTTAAATTAACCAAGAAGAATTCTTGCACCTCTGGCACATCATCCTGCAAAACACAGATTCAGTACATCTTTGTTGTATGTTCCTTTAACAGACTGTCACAGAGGTCACCAAAAAGCAATGCACTAGAAGTCTCCAATATTATAGCAACACTAAAATTAATTTATTTTTCCAATTTTCAAAAATACCTTTATTGGATGTAAAATTGATAACCTTGAATGAATTACAAAGTAAGGCATTATATTTCATGAAAAGCACTTCTGCGGTGACACTGAACTATAACTGTGAATAATTTTTTGCCCAATTTCAAAGGCATAAACCTCAACCATTGAGAATGTAAGAGCCTGTAGCAGCAGTGAATTGCACAGTTCTGAATATCAGACAGTAAAGTATTAATGAGACAGCTAAATCTCATTTATGCATTGCAACAGCTGCTTTCTGTTATTTGTCCTTCTGTGATATTAACATTACAGATAAAAACCACCTTTCCAAATGACAATGAAATAAATAGCTTCAAGTAATATATAGGTTGCTAACTTTAGGTTCCAAGATTTCACAGAGATCAGTATAGAATGAAAGGGTTTCGAGTTTACCTCTAGAATAGTAATATTTATGGCAGCTGATGTTTCTTCTTCTTCCAAAATCAGTGAGCCAGAAACAGCTATATAATCAGCTCCTGGTTCAGCCAAGGTCCCTTCCGTCTGATTGCTTAAGGTGACCAGTCCTGGAACTGTGGCATACGTAACATTGATAGCACCTGTTTAAATTGTGACAAAACCCACATTTTTTTAAATCCTTATGTAATGCTCCCTGGAACAGATGAAGGAAAGAGATCAAATACTCATCCACAAAATGAAAAGACAAACTGCAAAACAGAAGTATTAAAAGATTTATCAGGAGCCAAAGGAACTTTATTACTGCTTTTAACATGCTTTCAGTCCAGCCTTTGATTTGTCCAACATCAGAGGACTCAAAAAGCATTAGAACCAAATGTATTCAGGTATTTGAGGTGCTGTGGAATATTACACTGCTGAAGTACTGCCTGGGACATCTAATCTATTATTAATATCAGGGTTGGTGCCAAGGGAAGTAGAATGTTTCAGGAACAACTGATATCTAAGAAGGGGTCTAAAGAGAGTGCTGGGAAAGACAGATTAATAAATATAATTTCCTTCCAAGGCAGATTGACAGAGACTGCAATAAAGAGTAAAAATTAAGGGACATGCTGATGAATGATACCAAGTGAAAAAAGTTATACATAATTTTTTTTATAATAAAGCCATGTCTCGCTAATCTGCCAGAGTAAGTCAAGTTGCAAACTTAAAGAGAGTGATCCTGGAGATAAAATGACAGGTGAAATTCAAAGCTGGTCTGTATGAAATAAAATATAAGGTATAAAAGAATCTTAGTTTTAATAAATAATGATAGACTTAGAGACCTTACATTTACTTGGGATACTTATCATAAAGAATCCCAAGTAGTGTTCCAAAAGTAAATTAGATACTGATTGATACTATAACAGAAATTGGGAAAAAAGGGAAATGTCATTAAATGGCCTCTACAAATCTGTGGTGTGTTCAGATCTTGAATGTTCATTGTAACTGGTCACCTCACTTCGAAACAGATAAAACAAAACAAAATAAGAGGGATTATCACTGAGGTCTAAATATAGTCTAAAAAGGTAAATCAGAAATGATCACACATCTTATCTCACATTATAACCTGAAATTCTCAGGCAACAAACACAAGAAAATATTTTTGCGCACCAAACATTACTGAATTCTGCAATTAAGCACCACTTAATTTTGAGGATGTTGTAAGACGAAGTGATTTAAAAAGGAATAAGAAATTCTCAGAGAACATAAACTCAATTCAGTGGTGTGAATGCAACTTTTTCCATGAGACATTCCTAAGCTGACAACTTCTGAAAGTTTAAGAGGGAAATATGTGTGAACAATCATTTCATAAAAGCTCCTTTTCCTATATGTTTTTTTTTTTACTTCTTCCGGAGACACTAACACTTTGAAACAGATTCATTAGACATAAAGGTATAACCACAATATCCAACTAGCTCTGTCAGAGCACCCAAGGCTTCTTGCTGTGGAAACAAGGGATATGGCTCCAGTTTTAACTAAAACTGAGCTTCTAAGCCTGCACTAAGAAGCCTAGAAGTTCTGAAAATATTTACTCTATCCAAGATTTTTAAAAATTTCCAGCCTCCTTGTCATGGCTTTTATGTGCTTAATGATTACCAATAACTTCTCTTGGAGTTATACTAACCTAAAGATCCAAATTCTCTGTTAATAAAAAGCTGAACTGTTTTGTTTTCCTCTGGAATTGAAACTACCCTGGATGGGGAGGCAAAATTCAAGACTCCATGTGGTTCATCACTAGCTTCTACTGTCAGAACAGCTTCATATCCTTGACTATCCAAGACAGCAGCACCTGAAGAAGAAACTCCTGCAAAAGAACCAATGGACTACAGTGAATAGAGTGTCATGCAACAATTTTTTTTTTTTTGTCTTGTATTACTGCTATTATTCCATCCAAATTACAGTCAATAAGAGTGCAAATGAAATTAAATTAAATGCATGATGCACTCACTGAAGTTTACGGATGGTGTGGAATGTATGTATATTTACATTCTATAACAAACACAGGAAGCTACAGTCACAACAGGAATGGTATGCATACTAAGTATAGAGTCACAAAACCTTATTAGGAAATAAGAAAATTTAATGGGTCAGTGCCAAATAGCAACTTCCCTAAACTTCGTCTATTGTAAAAGGAAAGAGAAAATTTTCCCAGGAATTAACTCCAAAAGTTAAAATTATATTTGATTTCTCCATCATTCCATGAATAAATTGCTCTTTTTTCCAAGTGTTGCCTTGATGAATAATTGTTGGTATGTTAATTTATGCTTATCCTGATGGATTACAAGAATCAACAAATTATTCTGGACATTTGGTAAGGCAGAGCAGCAACACAATCCATATCCAAGTTAGTTTGGTGTTTTGACATTAATTGAAGTTTAACAAAGGGTATTTCAGTAGAGATGCAGTTTCATGCTTCTTTTCTCATTATAATTTGAATGGCAAGAATAAAATATTCTGACCTCCTTGAATTCAGAGACAGATCAGAAAGCCAGTTTGCAGCATAACAAGATTGCTTTAAAAGATAAAAATACCCGCTTATTTCATGGCAACTGCATCTAGAACACACTAGTGTGTTCAGTTAAAAGGAGGGAAATAACCACTGAATTAAATGGGCAGAGTTAAATCAGGTTTAAAACCAATTAAGGAAAACTACAAATACACTCTGGGGTTTATATATATATATATACATACACAAATAAGGATCAAGAAGAGGTGAATGCACTTCGCCTAGTTTATAACAGTTGCAGTCTGCTTAGTCTTACACTTCAGAAATGGATTAATATAAATGAAAATACGGCACTACTAAATGGCAGTTTTAAGATACGGCAGGCTGTAGTTCTGCATTACCTTCTGTTTTGATATTGTACAGGATGATCTGATATTCTTCTTTTTCTTCAGGAATATGGTCATCCAGCAAGTGAACATACAGTGTTGTATTCAAGGCCTCCTATTTATTTTATTGATAAATTGATTAGTCATTATTGTATAAAATGCAAGTGATACCACTGTATCATATGTATTTTCAACAACACCTTTAAGACACGTAAAGTTAAAGCATCAAAATCTATAAACTCCCTCCAGTTTAGAACTCCAAGAGTAAAGGAGCAAGTAAATAATCAGATCAAGAAACAAAGACTGCTATAAAAGCACACTTGTTTTCTCAGCTCAGTTCTAATTACAACATCCTCCTGTAGCCATTAGCTTTGCTTATGGAAGTACCTCAGGAAAAAAGAGTATTCCAGAAGAGTTTTCAAAATTCTGTTTTACATTATGCCCAACTATCTTCCATTCAACAGTAACATTTCCCAGTCCTGGGGGAGTTCTTACAAGATGGAATTGCAGTTGTTCTCCTAGGAATAAAGGATGAGACGCAACATTTTAGGGTTTCCACTTCTACATACACATAAATTTTAAAAATGAGAAGCCAAAAACATGCATCACAGTTAAAATAATTTTTCTGAAAGACATTAGTATTTTTAATAGTGAGGTTCAAAGTAGTTACATAACACATTTGGGTTTGTACTGAAACAAAAAACCCCAAATCTACACTTTTTCATCCTGATTTTTTCTGGGTTTAGTTCACTCTTGAAAAGGACTAATGAAATATGAGTGAACCCAGTACAGATGAGTAACTTCGAAAGTAAACACCCATCAAAACATGCACACTCGGAACAGCAATGCCTATGAACTACACAAAGCAGTAAATGCTGTATGTATCAGCTGTAACACAAATAGTTTTCTACAACAGCTAACTGGCAAGAAATACACATTTCCCTCACATTTGCAGTGTCTTGTGACTATACAGTGCCTGCAGAAAAAAGCTTGCAATTACACTTATGTTCCGTGTATGTAAGTTTTAATTACAAATATCATAAGTATTGGAAAACATTCAGAAAATAGTAATTTATAATTCTAAAAATAGAAACCTCAAAATAAAAACATTAATATTTAATAATTTCTAATTTATTTTTTCAATAATTTCTGGAATAATCAGTATCGATTGGCAATGTGCATCTGTAAGAAGCAATCAGTCTATTACATTGCAGGAAAATATTGTATAGCTAAAACCGGCAGAAACAACTTGAAGATTTTCTAGATGTGTTCTTTTGGTCAGAAAATGTGAGAGAACCATATATATTGGCTGCCAATGAGAAAGACGTGAACAACCAACTTCAAGGGACCTTAATATAATTAATTCAAATATAAACCTGTGAAGAAGCAATACAAGAATTTTATACACCCTTTTTCAAGTAAATAGGATTAGTATGTGTTATTTAGCCTCAACATTTCAAAATTCAGTTCAGTCTTGGAGATATACCAATGTTCATATCTTGGTCTTAAGTTGTTGCATGTTCCTTCTAAGAGAATAAAAGAATCAGAACTTTAGTGACATCACAGGAATTCTCCTTCAGTCAGATAGCTGAGGATAGACTGACAGTTTACAGGTCCCCCTGTCATATTATTTAAAACTGCACTGAAATAATTGTATCCTTTTTAAGAATTTTGTGTATTTGTTGCAATTTTGTGCATTTTTTAAGAGAAAAATGTTTATTTTAGTACTATTGCAGAATGCACAATTTAGACAAAACTTATTCCAATACAGCACTATGTAATACAATGAATTTTCACTAAAGACTGAGACAAAATGCTTTATGATGCAGAAGCCTGTTGCACTGTAACCCAAACAGTAAGAAGAAACCTGAAGTACATTACAGACCCCAGGTTGTTCCTTAGTGACCTGTGTTCCTCAGTCAGCTTTTCCAAAATCTCTGGCATCCCTATCCAGAAAAAAAATCTAATAGAAGTACTAATTGATTTCTGAAGATTAGAAGTGTTATTAGGTTAATTTCACTGTTTTAGCATTTTTAATATTTAATCACATTATCCATATCTTTAGATTTCTACATTTATCAAGGGAGAAGGGGGCCTCAGCCAACCTACTCTTCTCCCTTTTGTCAAGCTACTGGAGTGCGTTTTCCTCTAATACAGTCATAGCCACACAACTCTTACATGCCTCTGCCTGTACTAAAATGCTACCCTTGCCCTCAATGAGATGATAAATGGTATGCACAGCTTGAAAATAATACAGATTTGCTTGACAGAAATTGTTTAATGATACAACAAAAGATAATCATCTTTGGATTTAGGTCTAATAAATTTTGGTTTTAGAACAAAAAAAACTTGATACTGAAAATGAAATGCAAACACTGAAATTATCTAAAGGCTTTAGCTCATTCTTTGGTTTTTTTTTATATCAAAAGGAATTAGTTTGGTTGAATCTTCTTGCTGTAAGACAGTGCACTATTTTTCACAAGCTTGAGGAATAGGAATTTCCAAACTATAGCATAGTATTTCAGCTTAAAATGGCCAGTATTTGCTAGCATGCTATGAATAATATTTAACCAGTGGAAAGCATTCAGGGTCATTGCAACCTTTGGGATACAAACAGTTTGCATTAATACCTTGTGGTCATTAACAACTCTTCTTAGCCTGCCAGAGTGCAGCTGGCTTGGCAGGTAGGTCAGAACCATTAATGTGGAGGAATAAAGGATGAAAACAAGGCACACAATAGCACCAAATTGACACAAAATACACCTAGATAAAACTCAAAAGGTTATGATGTCCTTTCATTTCTGGAAAACAACAGAACATGTTTGGTTGAGAAAAACTGACAGAAAATGCAATGCACACATTCCTGGACAGCAAATTTCTGTTTTGTTAACTTTCCCTGCAATCAACATTAGTACTGTTGCTATCCTATGGAAAACTGCATCAAACATTAGATCAAGCACACCACGTGGTCTTTTAAGGCAGTAGCAGAAACCTTTGGTCCATACCAAATTATTAATGTTCTTTCTCAAATGTCATGATAAGTGATGATACCAACTTTGCTACACTCCTAAATTAGCTACCATAAAAGAGCATAAAGAGAAAATTTTAAAAGAGCAGGTTATTGAGTCAGGATGAGGGAAGATGTAATCCTAATCTTCCTGTGGGACTACTGTCTAGAATATTTAAGTAAGCCACTGATAGATGAGAATCATGACTGCTAAGAGGTATGTATGATGAGCTGTAGACATTTCTGGAGTATGGTATAAATTAATAAGAAAAGAAATGCTAAAAGGAGCTGTGAAATGCAAACCAATAGATGCAAGGCATGACCTTCTGAAAAAGGAAAGCACAGATGATGAGACATTTCGGAAATGGTGTACTCATCCTTTCCACAGCTTCTATTTAAATTCTATGCTTGCAAAAGTTAAAAATTCAAAGAAATACATGCCAAGTATGTGGTTATTCTCTGCTTGCTGGAATTCTCTGAACAGTGATCCAGTCACTCAGTCATGATTATCTAACAGAGAGCATGGAGATGGAAGCTAATGTTAAACAGAGTCTGGTCAACACACAGAACCCACCTTCACGACCAATAACAGATCTTGAGGCTGTCTGGAAGCTAATAATTCCTGCCACGTTGTCACTTGCTAGAATAATCACAGTGACCGTGTCAAAACTGGGCAGAATCCGACTCCCTCCTTCAGTATGGACCAGGCTGATTATAATACTTTCATTATCCTCTGGCTCTGGATCATCTAAAATGGTTAGCGTGACCATCTTCTTTGTTTCCCCTACAAAGAGAAGAACATACACATACTTATGTGTGAACATGGGTATCACCTTTCAAAAAGACTTAATCATCTCCTTTTGTAGAAAATAAATAAGAAAAAAGTAAAAAAGGACATGAAGCTTATTTATGTATTTATTTCCCTGTCTAGAAGTTACTGAATGTCATTATGAAATTTTACTCAATTAATACTGAAAAATTGCAATAAGCCAATATAATTATTAAATATATTATGTAGAAATTCAACAATGTAGGTATAATTTCTGAATGTCTAGAATATTTATTTGCATTGTAAGTTCTCTGACTTTCAACTTTAACTTAGAAAAGGGGAATATCACCTTGTAAAAAACCTACCAAGTGCTTAAGTTGCCTAGGAAACATGTACAAAAGTATGTACCTTCAATTTCCATATGTTTACTGGGCCAGGGAATGCATTAAAATGGGCTGTCATTGTGTTAGTTACTTGTCTTCTGGATTATCAGAGACTGATAGTGTAAACAGCAAACATGATCAATTACCAGCCTCTATAATCCGTTATAATTGATGACACAAACCTGCTGCTCAGTGCATGTGCATATCCCGTGTTTTATGACCATGAGAATATCAGTTTACAAGATAACACATATTTCTTGCTACTTTAAAGAAAGTTTTTACTAAACTTACAACCACTAACGTAGTTAGATGTCAGGCTCAGCATCACTGCTGGCAACCATTCTTTTGAGTTCACATGATTTAGCAAGCTAGCCACCACACCAGAATCTTTACTATACTCCCATAAATTACATTCAAATTGGCTGTTCAGCCAACTCTGAATTTGAAAATAAAAACTGTATCTGCCATTCTGTGTGGTACTTAACAATGTCTGACATTAACTTGTTCATCCTGTCGGCAATCTGGTTTTATTATGGTGTTGTGTTACAGAAATCAACATGATCTCGGAATCTAAAAAGAGCCATCATGAAAAATTATTGCTGTACCAACTATAGGTTAACAAAACGGCATTTAGGCCTGACTCTCATTTTCATTATTCTTCATATAGCAACTATTTTCAGCATTACTATCCCTTATTTATTTGGTGAAAAGGCAATCTTTATAATGCACACTGCTATATTTCTTCAAAAAATACTCTAGGTATCTATGCTTGTCATCTATTTATTTATTTTACTAACACTGTGTGTGTTCTGCAACATCATGAGATATATATAGATATATCTATATCTTTTGTATATATCCTGAGTATTCAGGGAGGTCTAGCCTAAGAATAAGACATCACTGATCAAAACACCCAGAGGACTGAGTGCCTGTCAGGTTCTTTTTTCTTTAGTTTAATAAAACAGAAACCAATGCAAAACCTTGCCTCACCTTCAGCGAACACCAGAATCTCACCAACACCAACAAAATCCAAGTCTGGGGTAGCAGTTCCACCAACCACTTGCCATTCCACTGTCACCTGACCGAGGCTGCCTTCTGTCCTGTGTATCATTAGGTGCACTCTGGTCTGAGGATGTTCTTCAACTTCAATATACAGACCTTTCTCTGTGGCATTGGGACTGACGCTGTAGAGCTTAAATACTCCAAATGCATCCCCATTCATCATTATGACAACTGTGGAAGTATTTGGCTGTCCTACAGTGGGTTGATTTTCTAAGCTGGCTGAGATGTTCATTAGTTGAACTTTTAAAAGGGATACGGTGAACGTCTCATCTAACTCCGGCAGGCTGTCAGGGAGAATGGTAATAGTGAGATTTGCAAATTCTTCCCCTTCCTGCATTATGGCCCACTGTCTTGTAACAGATTCATAATCACTACCAGCAATGGCTTGAGTGCTGAAGAGAGCCGAAGCACTGGTGATGTTTTTCTGGTAGGTCCAGAATGCCGAAGTGTTAGTTAATGGGCTGATCTCTGATACCAGCCAAAGGCAGAGAGGAATCTCAGAGGCACCGGAGAATGTAAAGGCTGAACACGCTTGTTCTTTTAGGCACTGAGTTGCACAGGCATACAGTGGGTCACTCGCTGCCGACACGTTCACTCTGGTCTTGGATGGTTGCTCTGGAATTCCTTGTACAGGAGACTCGTAACAGGCCAGGATGTCCTGGCCTTGCTCAATGGCAAGAGCTACAACATCAGTCTCAAAAGTGCTGTAAAATATCTGCAGCGGAGCAAACCTTCCCCCACTAAAAGACATTAAAATTAAAAAGTAATGTTAGTTCATGAAGTACGTCTAACATTTTGTATGTTTCCGGGTTAATAATAAACCTGAACAAAACTGACTGGCCCTTTCTGAATTACTGGAAAGCTCCAAATAACTAATTAGAGTGGATTCCCTCAAAGCTAGTACCACAATAACTGGGTTGCCTTTTTTTTGTGGTAATCACATCTGATTATTTATAGCCTGGGTAGCAATGTTAAGAATGCATGTTTTCAAACATTTGAATTAGCTCAGCCTTCTTTGGGCTGGCAAGGAATATAATGCCTGTGCTGCCCAACTCTGTCATCTTCCTTCATAGGTATTCTCAGGATATCATACCACATGCAAAAAACCTCTTTCCTTTTCTTGTTTCTTTCTACCCCACAAGGGTTGACCCAATTCATCCTCCAGTTCAAATCACAGGAACAGGCTGTTGTGCAACTTTAAATGATCTTATGATTAAATAGGCCTAATGTAGCTTGAAGTAGCCTGTGTATATTAGGTTTACATTGTGCATTACAATGAAAGTTACCTTTAAGTACTTTATGTAAATTTCTAATAATCTAGTTCAAAAGCAATGTATATGAAATAAAAATGCGTAGAGCTGGCAGACCAAGAAATCGACGTACATACTTATACAAAAGCAGCATAACATCTGAAATTATAGACAAAAGAAAAAAATATAATCGATATAAATAAAAAGACATTATACAAACCTTCGCCTGACCGTTATATTTGCAAGCAAATTTCCTTCTAGTGGCTCCTGAATTCGATATAAGGATTGATGAAAGAAAACTGTGCCGTAAGGATTATCATTGGCAGGTATTACAATATTTGCCACGCCATCTAACCCAATAGCACCACCATTGGAGGCCTGAGTTAATTCTACATGGACAATCTCAAAAAAAAAAAAAGAAAAAGGGAAAGAAATAATGCAGCTAAACAATTTTTGGTATTTCTAACAATAACCACAACAAAGTAAAATCTTGCACCTTCTTCACAGAATGTTGTTTTTCTTCACACACATTTCTGTAACAAGTTAAAACTCTAATAGTATTCAAGAAAGATGTAACTGCTTTGCTTACTTCTTCTATCTCAGGAACATCATCAGCCAGGATTTCCAACACCAACATCTGAATGGCTTCCCCAGGGGCAAAAGTAATATTACCCAAGGCGACCTGCAAGTCAGCATCAGCAGGATGTCCATTAATGGTAGCAACCCACTGAACAGTAATGTTACCGAGTGTCCCAGCATTGCGGATGATTGGCAGTTTTAAGGTTACCGATCCAAATTCAGGCTCCTCCACAGTGAATTCAGTAATCTGAAAAACTGAAGTGTAGCAGAGAGGTTTATTTCATTAACAATGAAATTGAAAATAAAAATACCAAATCCTGAAGTACATAGTTTTATTTCACTGGATTGCATTTACTTGCAAAGCCAAATCGCTTTTAATGAGTTTTAAACTTGAAAGTGAACTCTCAGTATTAATATTTTCATCTACAGGGGAAATTAGCATGAAAACTAAGCCCAAATTCATTCCAACATACCTACTGTAAGCATGAGCTGGTTTTGAGCTCTTAAAGACAATTCCATAAGTATCCCAGTAGAAAACTCATTAGCAGCTTTAATATCACTTACTGAAGAAATAAGTCAACATATTCCATCTAAAATTGTTTTTAATAAAAGCTTTACTTCAATTAAAGAATTGTTTTAAGAATTAATTAATTACTCATCAGGAATTGTTTATTTTTGACATTTTTTCTTTCTTTCCTCTACTGACAAAATGGAACAAGAGGAATTAAATAGGGTACTGAAGGGAGAAAAGGGTAAGTCAAAGGAAAAGGCAGGAAAAAGACAGGGAAAAGATAGATGTCTCAAACACTGAATTTTTGAAATCACCAAAACTGTTTTCAAAACCTGACTAAAAAAACTAATTTTGGAAAGTATACACAATTCACTTTATTGATAATAACAGACAGAAGAAAACTAAAGTACTTGTCAGAAAAATAAGAAAATGTCATTTAATCTCTCTTTATATTTTTCAGTTTACCCAGATTTTTAAATCTCCTTTGGCTGATTATCTAGTAAAACAAAGACATCAAATTATTTAAGCAACAGATATTAGAACGCAGATTTTGGCTTAAACCTACTGCAGCAATGCAGTACTTAGAATACATAAAAAATAAAAAAGCAAATTAAAATCCATTTATCTCTATTGAGAGATCCCAAAATCTTGCTGTATCAACTGACTAAATATTCTTTTTTTACATTAAAGCGCCACTACTCTTTAATAACCTGTTTAGTTTATCTTATCTTTTACTCTACTGTCCATCCAGGCTTCCTCTTTGTCCTCTGAAGGTTTTTATTCAGTTGCTCAGTAACAGCTCACCCACAAATCTGCAGCAAAAATGTTAACAGAAGAGAGAAAATATGCAAATGAGACTAATTTACCAAAGGATCCAAAGGGGTCATCAGAAGCCTCAATAGTTATGACTGCCCTAGTCAAAGATCCCAGCAACGCTCCTCCTGTTGTTTGATTCAGCAGCTGAACGTAAAATGACTCCTCAACTTCAGGATTGATATCATTAATTATATAAATTGGCACAGCTTTACTTGTTTCTCCTTCTAGTAAGACAACATCTGATGAGGCTACACTGTAGTCCTCGCCTAGATTTGTAGATAAAAAAATAAATAATAAAAAACACAGAATATTAATGAATTATTGTTCAGTGTATAGAACATCATCCATAATACTTCTCTTTATGCTTACACATGCACTCCTCCATGGTTTTATGGGTTTTTTTTCTTTATCTCCAGACCCAGACAATGCAGACTTTTTACTCCTCATTGCCTTTTAGATATCTGGATGGATTAAAATAAAACTTGGCTTGGCCAACACAGAGGTTGCACTGTTAGCCCACGAGGTAGTTACAAAAGGTCCATTATTGCCTCCATCAACACTGTCACACTACCAAGATGTTTCTGTCTTTGATTTCTAATTGCTCTCTGGCTTTCCAAGAGATAAAAGTGAACAGAAGCACCTTTGTCAAAATGGATTTTAGTAAAGGGCACATTCTGTGTGTGGACCTCACTTTGGGCAAACTAGTCTCTAAGAATGTCTAGACGCACAACTGTGATATGCTAGATAATGGCCCCACTTCAGAAACAAATTGAAAGCATACTCTGACATCAATTTAACTACACACTTATTTAGCGAGGTCTGTTACATAAAAGGGAAACTAAAACGGCAGTTCTCAGAGCATGTACCACCCGCCTATTCAGTTTTGGACACAGCTGAAATACAGTGGGTTTAATTTATAGCTAAGTGGGTATAACTGAACACTTCCCTAAGTTTGCTCCTTTCTTTATGTACCCTCTCTGCCACAGGGACCAACTGGAGAACTTAACCTCCCATTTTCAGAAGTTCAAGTCTTCCTGGGTTTTGATGGGGTTTTGCCTGTTTGCTTTACAGCTGAGTCCCCAGCTTTCACCTCCTCCCCAATAATGTATGATGGGTTTTAATATGTGCACAGGAATAAACAGTAGCTACAAACACTAATACTTTTTTTTCTTTAATTTCCTTTTTGAAGATTGGGAAAGAATCACCCCAACTGTTTCACTCATTTTTCTTTATTAGTTCTTCAGTGTTGATGTCTCAGAGCTTCCTGAAAGCTGATGTATGGTCGCTTCCACAGAGACCTATTTCCTATTGGCTATCTATTTGTTAAGCAAAGCCATCAAATGTCTCACTGCTATTGTTTTGTACTTATGTTACTGCGATACAATAGTGCATTCAACGCACACTTGTTTCCTTTGACTTCTCAGAACATATAGTATGCTCTTCCCACTTCAACACAGACTGCATACTTCTGCTATTCTGATTTCTTACCAGCTGTCGCAGTTATTGGCATAGCTTTAAATTTCACAGAAACATCTGCAAATATTCCCCCAGTTCTGGTCACGTTAATGATTGGTCCAACATAATTTTCAGCAACTCGCACAGTTGAAGCTGAAAGCTGAAGTGTTCCAAAAGCATCATCATTGGCATTGATAATTACATGTGCTATTGTCTCACCCGCTAATCCAAGTCGAGGAGAATTTACAACTGAAAACGTAAAGAAAACTTAGTGAGGGGGTGCCTGAGATGCTTGCTATCTAGGGCTATGGAGTTCATAGACATACATGTGAGCTTAGGGGTTAGTTGCCACACGCTTTCAACAAAATCAACTTTTTTAGAACTGGACAAACAGCACCAAGATACTTTTGGTGTTTGGATTATGGCAAAAAATCAAAATTTTTAATAACTTATTGTTCTACCCTGCTGTGCAGTATACAAGCCATATTTTTTTTTTTTAAAAAAGGTAAGGTGCTGTGTTTGTTTATTTATTTATTTGTCCATAAATAGATTTAGTTAGTTAGTTTGTTGTCCATAGGGCCAGTAGTAAGACCAATACAGTTCAGAAGAATTTCATTTTCACACTTGCTATGATGAAATAAAAATTAGATTTCAACCTCCCAGCAGAATTACATTTGAAGTTTCCCTTAACATCAAGATCAATCTGGGGTGGGGCAGCAATTAGACATACCAAGAAGCTTTGAAGACAGTAATCACCTGAATTTATCTGAATGACGGATGAAGCAAACATTCTGTACGCTAAAAATGTAACACAGAATCACAGAACAGTTTGGGTTGGAAGGGACCTTAAAGACCATCTAGTTCCAACCCCCCTGCCATGGGCAGAGACACCTTCCACTAGACCAGGTTGCTCAAAGCCTCATCCAGCCTGGCCTTGAACACTTCCAGGGATGGGGCATCCACAGCTTCTCTGGACAACCTGTTCCAGTGCCTCAACACCCTCTCCGTGAAAACTTCTTCCTGATATCTAACCTAAACCTCCCCACTTTCAATTTAAACCCGTTACCCCTTGTCCTGTCTCTACAGGCCCTTGTAAAAAGTCCCCCCCAGCTTCCTTGTAGCCCCTTCAGGTACTGGAAGGTGCTATAAGGTCTCCCCGGAGCCTTCTCTTCTCCAGGCTGAACAAGCCCAAATCTCTCAACCTTTCATCGTAGGAGAGGTGCATGCAGCTGTAATTGTACACCACTTTATTTTTAAAAGGCTTTTTTGCCTTTCAATAAGCAAAACTAGCTTAGTTATTTCCAGATACTGGGCTTCACAGAGGCAACACCCGATGAACTGGTACTAGTTTGCAAAACCTATACTTTAACATCTTTGGCCTGAAAGACCTTGTGTAAGGTGATGCAAAAGGGCTAAAGAAATTCCTGACAAAATATCAGGCTAAAGAAAGTATATGCCAACAACAAACAAGGCAGGAAACTCCGATTTCTTAAGTATACAGAGTTTGGCAGAAGTAAAAGATTATCGTTTAACTTTCTGCATTTTATCCTATTAAATGTAAATACTAGCCTTCATATTTAAATTGTAGGTTTTACGTACATAAGATACTTACTTGGCCGATCCTGTACTTTCTCAATCAAAACAATACTGCTGAGTTCCACAAAAACAGATTCAGACCTCTCAGGATCATCATCATCCAAAATAGGCAAAGATATTGTGGCTTCACTTTCATTGGCTGTGAAGATCACGTAGCCTGTGATGGGTATATAATCTTTTCCCTCTACTGCTCTAACAACATCAGGTGGAAGAAAGGGTGACTTTTCATCATCGCCCATAGTCCTGTATGTCACCATTACTCTACCGAGGAGACCACCACATCTTATTATTGTCAGGGAGATATTTTTTGTTGCTTCCTCAACTTTTATTGGTCTGTTTCGCTCAGAAAAGATGAAGACTCCATAGGGGTCATCATTAGCTAAAACAGTTAATATTGCATTAGTGTGATTTCCAAGACGACCACTGGAGACATTGATGATCAAAACTGAAAACACCTTATCCAATTCAGGAACTTCATCAGGAGAAACCTGTATGGTAATATTTGCTCTTGCTTGGCCAACATCAAATGTTACACTCCCGTCTGTGGAGATCAGGTCGTTGGTAAGATCACAGACTATGATCCAATCCAGTGTCACCTGAGACAAGGTCCCATGTGTTCTCACAACCTAAATGAAAAAGAAAAAGACCTGCATATTTTGTTCTATGAGAAATAAAAACTCAAGGGTATGGGATGGAATTAAGCAAAGACACTGAAATTAAGTGATAAAAATAAATTTGTGTTTTAAAAAACAGTGTAATCGCTATTACCTCAGCTTTGCTCTATTTCTTGTATCATCAACGCTGTTACTTTAAGATAGTAGTACCTCAAATGTAAACAAGTAGATGTACTTTTGAACCTGTGGATATTATTATCACATCATTTTAGCTTCAAGCTGAATGATAAACACTAGAAAATCCAGTATGAAATGGCAAAACAGATGCGCATGATGAAGATGTTACAAACACTATATACATGGCAAAAATACCACAGAATGCCCAGTGAAAACAGAGACAGAAAAGGACTGCACAGCAATATGAGACTCGGAGCTTTCTAACCTGCAGGACAATATTGCTGTCTCCATCTTCAGGCTCAGTTCCATTTACCGAGAGCGACTCAGTGCTGAACTCAAACACACCGTGAGCGTCATCAGAAGCTTCAATAGTCACAAGGATGTGGGATGCAATTCCCAAGCTAGCTGTTAAGTGCAAGTTCCAAAGAGGGTTATTTTTGCTAGCATCTTTTCTTACATGAAAGAAAACAGCTCACGAAATATGTTACAAAAAATACACAGAGGAGGATGAATGGAGGACTCATGCTGATTTTTTGGAATGTATGATACCTATCCACATGGATAAGGAACTGACTTTCAATAAAGCAGTCCTGACAGCCCTTTTATGAAACTGCGCAACAAAAAAACATAATAAACATTAATATTTTCAGGGAGGAAGAGAAACAAAACTAATGTTTAATGAATGAAAATGGGGCAAAATTTAGGAAAGTGGGGAGTACGTGGCAAACTACAGTGCAAGCAGATAGACCAGATGAATGTAGGCCTCATCCTAAAAAAAATTGGAATGAAAAACAAAGAAAAAAAACCAAGTCCAGAGACCTTTGTTACTAGAAAGATTCTCTTGGGTGTGATAACTTGCTGCTCAGAACCTGAACTTAAGAAAACCAATTCTGGAAACAAGGAAAAAGGGAACAGCACTTAAAAAAAAAAAAAAAAAGGGAGGAAGGTCCAAAAAGTGACTAAACCACAGACTTACTCTCAGATTCAAACTGAAATCCTTTGCATTTACAAATAAAATTGAAAATCAGGCTGTCACAGTGGAAAAAATTACTCAGTTTGGATAATGGATGCCCATATAACATTTTCACGTCTGTAGGGTTTAATTAAGTCCTCTATGATTAGGCTTTTTTCTCAGATTTTATGTTGGTTTTCACATCTAGCATTTTTTACGTTTTCTCAGTATTAAATTATCTGTGTTTTCTGTATGTCATAATATAAATACAAGTGTAAAGAAAAGAAATGAAAAATAATCAAAACATTCCTTTAAAAAACCTAACACAGCTTACCTTTCTTTAAGATTATTTTTGACATGCAGAGAATCAAAGCAACATAGCATGTATCAAAGCATACAACCAGGTAATTTTTAAATTACCTGCAATTTAAAAAGCATCTTCGAAAACTGTCAAATTTTCTGGAGACCAAAAAGCAAACTGTACTTCTGGAATTACTATTTTGTGGTTTACAACAATGAATTTTGATGGTATAGAAGCTGTTATTTTCTGTGTTACGCTAGACACTGACTGCTACTGAAATTATGCCTAAATTAAAATGGGAAAGAATATTTTGATGGAACTTTATGATAAACATAAATTAAACATAAACCTGAAAATAATAAAAATTAACATAAACCTGAAACTGCAAGCAAGACTATGGCAAATTGTGTCACTATAGCAATTTATGAAGGATATTCCAGTTAGCAATGAAAAATAGGATTAATCGAAAATGCTTACCGTGTTGATGGACAGTTGGAAGGAAGAAATCCATGTTCCCATCACCACTACCACTGCCATCATTTCTAAAGAGCTCAGCAACTTTAAGATTACAGACATACAGATATATACACATATATATATTTATAAATAAAGAGAAAGCAGAAAGTAAATTAAACATTTCTGGACGAGAGAGAGAGAAAGGGAAGTATTCTAGGAAGACATAAATCTTGGATATGAAAGTACACAGGATTTCTGATAAAAGCCAGGAAAGGTATTGCACATGCCACCTCTTATTTAATGTATGAAATTTGAAATAGCAGTGGGAGGTCAGAGGGAAAGAAAACACATACACCTTTGTTGTCTTTTTTTTATCTTTCCCTCTTTGTGTCCCCTCTTTGCATTTCCCCTTTCTCACTTCTAAATGAGGTCTCTCATGGAGAAAATGGAAATGTGAATAAAAAAATGAATGGGGCCTAAGACACAACACCACCTCCCACACCAAACTCTCTTATTCTAATATTTTTTCACAAAGCCAAAACATGTGTCAGAAGGTTGGAAAAATCTGAGGAAAGCTTAAGTAACGAAGAATTTACCCTAATGTTTTTGCTTGCAATGGTGTTGAAAGGCCAGAAAGATATTTGTGTTAAGAGGGCATCTGCCTAGTGAACTACTAAAGTTAGCTGTAAGTTTTCTGACTAAGAAAATAATTTAAAGTGAAAAGTTTGTTTAACAAAAGAACTATTCAGTGAAAAGGTCTGAAGCTTTTATCATAACAATAATTACATTGTACCGTAGTGCCACTTAGCACTATGGACATTCAAGGTAGTATGCTGTAACTTCCCAGAAGGCATCGTATTTCTGTATTTCTTAAAAAAATAACATCAGTTTAAAAATCAATTTATGGCTGCCAATGTTTGTAATAACTTTTTTTTGTTTTGTCCCTCCTACCAGCTGTACAATCTCCCTTAAAAATTTTCTCCAATGCAAACATATTTTGTAAGGGCTGAGTGGTTTTATGTGGCAGGAGTGCTGATGCTTGACATCTCTTGCAAGACTAAGACCTCACCAAAAAAAAGTACTTTTCCTGGTTTTCCACAGAGCTACCAGCTACCCTCCAGCTCAGCTCTCTAGGCCTCTCACCATCCACAGTCTCCTATTGCTATAAGCCAGTGGAATGGGTTATGAGCCAGTGTATGGCAATTCCTCTAATTTCACTCAGGTGGCAGACGAAAAACCACTTTGACTGTTTAGCCTTAAATATTTTATAAATATTGACTTTTTTAAAAAAATTGAAATTATATATTTTTCACATTATTTTAATTCTCATTACCAACCATGAAACTATGTAACGTGAAAAGCAGCAGTCTCGTTTAAATGACCTAACGGATGGCAATAATACACTTTCTTGGGGATCTGGTGGCTTTCAGCAATGACTAACAAAACGGTTTTCCTAAAGAAAATTACAGCTGTCTGCAATAGGGATGCAGGGGTTTGTCTTCAGAAATAACATGGAAATAGTGCACTTAAGAAAGGTAAGATTTTAATGGAACACTAGATCATGAAAATATAACCAATGGATTGGTGTATGTGCCTTACCTCCTCCCTCTGCATTCAACAGCTCCACTTTAAAAGTTTTTTCCAGTTCAGGAATGGAATTATCAGTGATGTTAACAGTAATGTACTTGTATCTTTCTCCTGGCTGAAATTCCAGCGTGGCCACAACAGCCTGCAATATGAAAGCTCTTCACATTTTTGTTCAAGTCTAATATTTTAATCCATGTGAAAAAAGAAATAGAACCTTGATTTTGTTTGTCTCTGTCAAAACATCTCCATTTCTTCATTCAAGCTTTTAACTTTTGTTATGAGAAAAAGAATCATGAGCATGTGCATCCATCTACATTTTTCTGCACAAATATCAGTTACACAAACAAACACAGCTGCACACAGGATATTTTTTTGAACATGTACAAATCCTAGTATGTACAAACATCACCTTAACCTGTACCTAAATGCTCATATAAAGTTTGATATACTCAGCAACAATATCAAACATCCCTTCTTGCTGAATTGACAATTCTCTTAAAAAAAAATAAAAAGTCAAAACGAGAGGCTTTTCCTAGGAAACACAACATGCTGCACAGAACGGAGACGAAGGTCCCATAATAACATATATTTTTTTAAGTGAGTATTAAAGATTCATTAATCACATCACCATATAAAACAAAACGTTTCTGTCAACAGCATCACAGCAGGGCTAAAATACTTATATTGAAGGCTATCTCCAGGACAAATAACTCTAGCACACACCCTGGCAATGGCCATACCTGATAATCTTTAGGACTGGAAGCTGTAAGTGGCACTGTTCTGTATTCCACCAGAACTGTTCCAAGAAGGCCTTGTGCACGAACTACCAGTAACCTGATGTGTCCAACTTCTTCTTTAACGGTAATATGGGGCACAGCAGAGGCCGGCAGAATCATTTCCTCACCTGGATGAGGGGGTGGCCCCACCGAGAACTGCAGCAGACCTGGCAGACAAGAAGTACTATTTACATGGCTTCTCCCACCAAATCTAAATTATAATACTAAATTGAAATATGCATTTTTAATATCTATATTTAACATTTCTGAAATTTAAACAAAAACAATTATTGATATGCCTTAAGGACTCAATCATGTTATTTTCAGGGATGTGCGTTGTACTTTCCCCTCTCTCACTGATATATGCATCAGTCTTGATAAAGCCCCAGCACAATAATGAAATCAACTCTTCCCAAAAGAGCTTCAATGTAGTCACAGTATTGGGTACTTCTTGGTATAGTAAGCATGTAGAAATGTCTCTTTCCTTCACAAATTCTCATCTGAGAAAAATCTGAACAGGGTCATCTACATGCAACCTTCATTTGTTCTGCGGTTCTGAGAAAGGAATCATTGCCTGTTTGGAGGGCAGCTTTGATGCCTTTTTGTAATGTTCTCAAGAATAAGCAGGTAAGTTTTCACTCTCATATAAAAATTATGAATTAAACTCAATTTAGATGAAGTGGAATACTTGGCATTGTTTCCTCAACTATCAAAGCTAAGCATATACTTTATCTGTTGCGCTATAACTATACAATTTTCTGCAACAAGACCGTATCATCTCCATCATTGTTACCATATGGGTGGTCACTGGCTTTGATGCTGACATCAGTAGTTTCCTTTTCTGGATCTATACTAGCTCCACTGGTAGGAGTTGAACCTAGTTTTCCATCTCCAGACACTGCAGAGACTAATGTCACACGGAAATATTCATTTAGCTCCGGAATGTCATCATCAATAACATGCAAATTTAAGACCTAGAGAAGGACCAAATCACGGAGAAATCAAACCATGCAACATATATCACGTAGGATTTTCACGACCGTGCTTAACTCATCAAATTCTCTGATTAGTCAGTCCGTAGTTCTGAAAGTAATGCAGACAACATTATTGCTTTCCACGTAATTTAACCTAACTTCTAGGATAACACTTTATGTTTAGGATATGCATTCCAAAACCATCTTTACCAAGCTGCCAGAGATGGAAGGCATATTTTCTCAAGTGCTTCAAATCACATATACATGCAACCAAGAAAGTAATTATTTATTATCTACTTTAACATAAGCATCATTTAAATTGTTTATAGTGAAAGTGAAATATCTGATAGAGTCCAAAACCTCATAGAAATTGTGCTTTACAGTGATTAATCCAATTTAGAGAGCAAGTAAAGCAAGGGTTTTATGCCACCTGACACTTGAGGCTGCAGATCTGCACAGGCTAACACATTCCCCTCAGACCATCCCAGCTTTCTATACAATGTGACACAATTAGACAAACGTACAGATTAAAAGGTTTAGGTAGCTGATCGTATTTAGAGGCATGGGAATGAGTACCTTACAAACATCAGTGGGAAGTCTCTTAGGATATCTCACCTGACAACCAACTGCTCCCAGGATGTTTCTTAGGGCCATGTTCATTAAGTCCTTCATATGTAGACAATAAATTGGACCACAAAGCAGTGAAGCGAGTGGGTATACCAGACCTTTTCTGCCACTAGACAGAATAAGGCAGGTCTCATCCAGGCTGACAGACTAGAATACCCTTGGAAATTTTTGCTTTATGTGACTGTAATAGCGGAGCAATGCACTAATATGATTCCATGGAGAATTAAAGTGGAATGAACAGTGACATGAAGAAACTATTTTCAGATAACACGTGTTTTTGCCAAGCTCTAATCACTTACATTGTTTAATTGCAATTAGATCCGCAGTTCCAGTGAAGCCACTGGGATCCTTTCAAATGGTGTCAGTGGGTTTCAGTCAGTCCATACTGACTTCAAGAGAGTGACAAAAGCGAAACTGAGGACAGTATTTTCTAACAGTTCAGCCTTCTTACTTTACAAACACTGATAGAAAAGAGACATTAACTTTCTAAAGTATTGTGGTCCCACACCTCTTCTTCAAATAAATGTAAAATTCCTGTGCTGTGGGTCAGAACTGAATTCACAGAAATAGGGACAGAACATGGCCAAGAGTAATTGCAAGACACCTGATTACAGCAGTCAACGTTACTGCTGTCAATTTAATAGATGTGGAGATAAATCTGATTTCCAAAACTCTGATCAAACCCTGATCATTTTCCAGTTTCAAAAATAGCTGGATCCATTATTTCAGCCCAGAACCATGTACACTTCAAGTATACATACAGATACACATAAAACCATATATATGTACATGTATGTAAACATATATTATGTGCATTCCACCACACGTGTACACATGGTGATCCCTGAACTGAGGTACACACAGATCCATAAGCATCTATAATATCACCTGGCAGTTGCCAGGGCTGCCAAAACCCCTGCAAAATGTAACAAAAGCCATGTGAAGGAAAGACTCTCTAGTACGATAACCACTCAAGCATCCTCAGAAGGTATTTTCCAGCAGGTTTGCAAAGGGCAGGATGAATAGTTAATAGGAAGGTAGGGTTTACCTCTGATCTCTGCCAAGGAAGGAACGTGATAGTGCCACTGCTGTTAGAAAAATCGGTAACAGAGTAATTAATGCCAGTGGAATCAACCTGTGAGATAATGTAATTTATATACACATAGTCTAGGGCTCCCCTCGTACGCTCCACAACACAGGATATAGTGGAACCTTCATCGGCCGTCTGGAAGAAAGCAAGAAATTGAAATGCTTGTTACTGTCAAAGTAAATCAAAGCAGTAAGTGCAAACCATGGAATTCTCTAATGTTAGTAAAATATTCAGGTAAAAGAAATTGCTGTCATGTTACTTTCAGCATTTTGGAGCGGTGGGAAGCTGAAACTGAACTGATGCTGGTCAGAACAATCTTTGTGGAATTACCAATAGCTTCTATTATCTCCCTGAGGTAAACCAATAATAAAACGACACCCATTGTCTGTTTTGGTCACAATCTCTTCTGGCCAACTACTGTTGAAGACAGAATCAATGTGCTTGCAATGTATATGTCAAAAGGAACTGAAATGATTGATATTAAAGTCATTTATTTTAGTTTTCATTAGCAATAATTGAAAGAAAGATTTGGATTCCCTCTCTCCCCAACTAGAAACACTATGGATAAAGACTGACACATTAAAATTAGACTGTACTATCATCAGTCAGGAAAAACACTGAAAAATTTTCTGTGCTACTGTCCTCTTTGCAATTCTGTCTTCACAGAGAACATGACTTCAGTGGCAGTAATTTAACATATCTGGAACAAAGTAGGTATTGATACTGACCATGTATTTTAGAAAATTATGATCATAGAACTAAAATAGAAAGTAATTTTATTTGAAAATTGCTAAAGCTATCTTAAGCATTAGATAATTTTTAGAACTGCTGTAAAAAACAGTGCAGATACTGCATGTACCTTCAGCTGTTTTGCAGACAGATATGTATATAAAGCAATTAAACTACAGATAAAATAATGATGTGTATCTGTATCATCACTGAGAGCTCTAATACTTCCCTGGTGAAATGGACGTAAGGTAAGTGCAAAACAATTAACATGCTGTATAAATTTTTAATTTTGCTTCACGGTTGGTTGATGATCTGTGGCATCACAGTATTATCAGAGGCATTTGAAACTGAAGGAATCCATTATCAGCGCATATGGTAGGCACAGGGAAAGCAAACTGAGCCAAACTGAAAACCCGTATCACTCAGGGAAGAGGGTTACTTTCAAACACATCATAAGCACTTCAGTTAGAAAGAACGATGTAATTAAAAGGTCATAAAAGTACTCAAATGGGAAAGTATTCTGAATTTTTTTTTCCAAATATTCCAATACCAGTCAAAATAAGTATCATGTCTTTCTCCCTCATAAAAGATTAAAGAAGTAAAAATGGTTTATTTAAAGCCTCCCCAAAAAGTAGCTAGTTCTTATATTGCATATATACCCCGAGTACATGCTGGGCATAGAATGGATCGAGAGCAGCCCTGA